ATCTTATCTACAAATATTTTCATATTTATTGCTTTGATATGGATTGCTACCAACCACTGTTGACGTTTGCCCTCAGAGATTTTCTTGTCAGCATATATCAGCCCATATTTTTTAATAATAAAGCTTAAAATATGGTCCATGTCACTGAGCAGCTCAAGACACGTCACGGCTCTGAGTATTTGATACAGTATGACACAGACAGCATCATACACCACTGGCACAAGATCATTCTGGACACCATCAGAATGCTGGTGAGTGGCACTCCTGCTGGCAACATACAGTATAAAAAAATAAATAAATAAAAAACACACGTTGCCAAGATTTTTCTATCTTGTCACATTTACTCTTAAAATGATGAAAATATGTTGTGATCTTTTACAGCAGGACCATAATCATTACTCAGAGGATGAAGTGGAAGATATCCCAGAAAAACCTCCATTACCTGCAGATAAAGAGAGGAAGAGTGAATGTCAGTAACTGAATCAGATGCACATCAAGCAAATCACTGTTATTAATGACTTAATTCAGTTTCTTTGTATTTATAAATCATTTTCTTATAGCAACAAGACTGAGTTCTTCAAGTAGCATAGACTTAGAACAGGGCCGTGTTCGCACCAAGCTGCGCAAGTTCCTCCAGCGGCGGCCCACTCTGCAGTCAGTCAAAGAGAAGGGCTACATCAAAGGTTAGGATCAACTGAAGACTCGCTTTCAAAGAATTCAAGCACATATCAATGAGAATTTGAGTCTAGTGGACTTGTCCTTGTCCTATATTCACAGTAAATCATTTTGACTTTTAGTTTCTCTTTGTTTACAGAGAATGTGTTTGGCTGCCACCTAGACACCCTCTATCATCGAGAAAACACAACCGTGCCCAAGTTTATGGAAAAATGCATAAGATCTGTTGAGAAAAGGGGTAAGCGTTCATTTTGGTGTTTGTTTAGTTCAGAAGTAAGAAAAGTTATCTAAAGTGTCAGTGTCTGTTTGCGTGGTTCAGGTCTGAAAATAGATGGAATCTACAGAGTGAATGGGAACCTGGCTGTCATCCAGAAGCTGCGATATAAAGCGGATCATGGTAAACAAGAGCATCATCACAATTACTTTAACTGTGTTTTCAACCCTTGAGAACTGTATACATCCACCATTTAGGATTGAGTTCACTATCACAATGAATTTACAGACTGCTGGAAACAAACACATTTACCATGGTAACAATCTGCCAAAACACCTTAATTCCTACAGTTATAGTTAAAGATTTCATTCAGAATTTGAACAAATGTTTTTAAAACATTCTCACCAGGAGGAATTTTTCGAACTTTAGAAAATTATCAGATGTCAAATCGAAAGAGCTTAGATAGTTGTCGTAAAAGTATATTTTTGATTATTTTTAATGTAAGTAGATATAAACATAATATAAATAATGGTAATATAAATGGTTACTGCTGTAAAATCACAAATTCATGTGGGATCTCCTTCAAACAATGACGTTTTCAGAATTTATTTATTATAGCAGTGGGGGATTAACAATACTGTTTTTATTGACTTTATAAAACTGTATATTCCTTTCTTTCTGTAGAAGAGGATCTGGATCTGGAGGACGGGCAGTGGGAAGAGATCCATGTGATTACAGGAGCTTTGAAGCTTTTCCTTCGTGAACTTCCTGAGCCTCTTTTCCCTTTCAGCTTTTTTGATAGGTTCATCGCTGCCATTCGTGAGTGTTACTGTCCTGTTTAGAGAACAAAATCAATGTTTTTTTAATTCATTGCTTTTTTGGCTTAAAGGGATAGTTCACCCAAAAATGAAAAATTCTTTCATCATTTACTCACCATCATGTTGTTCCAAACCTGTATGAGTGTCTTTCTTCTGTTGAACACAAAAGAAAATATTTTGAAGAACGTTGTAACCAAACAGTTGCTGGTAACCATTGACTTCCATAGTATTTTTTCCCATACTATGAAAGTCAATGGCTACCAGCAACTTTGTTTTCCAACATAATACAAAATATCTTCTTTCATGTTTAACAGAAGAAAGAAACTCATACAGGTTTGGAACAACATGAAGACACATTTTTTGTTTTTGGGTGGACTATCCCTTTATGTTTTGACACATGATATATACCTAATAAAGCTTTTATTTTATAAGAGTTAGATATTAAAAGTAATATATTTTTGACTTGAAAACAAGTCATGAATATTTGCTTTGAACCCCAATTTTATTTGGTTATGATTCTTTTCTAAATGATGCAATGCATCATGGATTGCGAAATGAATGATTTATCATTCCACTTGACTCTGATTGATTATTATTGGAAACTGTAGGGAGTTTCTACTCAACAATACACTAAGTTTAATTCCCAAGACCAAAACCTCATTCATGCATGTTTAAGGGCTCAGTGATTGTATTTGTTTTCTAGAAATGAGTGACTACAGCCAGAAAGTGTCATATATTCGAGATCTGGTGAGAAACCTGCCTTTGCCCAACCATGACACCATGGAGGTTCTCTTCAGACATCTTCGAAAGTATGGACCTATTTTTCACTCTGTAGTATGATGACCATCTTTGTCACATATGTTTTTGTTACTTCCTTTTGTCTTGGGTATTATCAGTGATCAGGTCATTCAAGAAAATCTGTACTAAATGCATCCTCGCCCTATTTACTGAAAAGCAGTTCTGACCATATACCCATCTGTCCTACAGGGTGATTGAACATGGTGAGCTGAACCGCATGTCTGTCCAAAGTATGGCCATCGTGTTTGGCCCGACGTTGCTGAGACCACAGGAGGAGTCCAACATCACCATGCACATGGTCTTCCAGAACCAGATTGTGGAGCTCATTCTCAACGAGTTCAATGAGCTCTTCCAAACCAAATGAAATCACCTGATGGAAGGGAAGAGAATACAACCATTAGCACCATCTTCTTCTTCAGACATCTTCGAAAGTATGGACCTATTTTTCACTCAGTTTTGATGTAGTATGATGACCATCTTTGTCACATATGGTTTTGTTACTTCCTTTTGTCTTGGGTATTATCAGTGATCAGGTCATTCAAGAAAATCTGTACTAAATGCATCCTCGCCCTATTTACTGAAAAGCAGTTCTGACCATATACCCATCTGTCCTACAGGGTGATTGAACATGGTGAGCTGAACCGCATGTCTGTCCAAAGTATGGCCATCGTGTTTGGCCCGACGTTGCTGAGACCACAGGAGGAGTCCAACATCACCATGCACATGGTCTTCCAGAACCAGATTGTGGAGCTCATTCTCAACGAGTTCAATGAGCTCTTCCAAACCAAATGAAATCACCTGATGGAAGGGAAGAGAATACAACCATTAGCACCATCTTCTCATATTCCCAAATGAACAAGGTTACTGACTGTTTTCCGTCTACTGATTGGATATTGACTCTCCCAATCAGTCAAAACCAAAATGACACAACAAATAAGTGCATTGTGAAACATCAAGAGGATCTGCACCTTGAAACGGTCTTGTTCTTAAATGTAATATGTGTTTTTGGTACTGGCGAAATCAAGAGAACAAAAAGCCGAAGGGATCATCTGCCAATATGATCAAATGGATCTAAATGAATATAAAGTAAGAAAAAATGTCTAATTTGTCAAAATGGCATGTTTGAGATTAGACAGTTGTGGAGTCTTCAATAAGAAAAAACTTACTTGGATTGCTTTAAAGGTATTAAACAGAGCACATACACGTACATGTTACTGAATAATATGCTGTATATTATTGCTACTCACCAAAAACTGTTCCTGTGGAACAACACATTTTTTTCAGTTAGCCAAACAGACAAGGTTTTTCCTTTGAGATTTCAGTGCTCCTCCACAAAGGTGTGGACATTTGGTTGATGTAATTTTTCTCTGAACTAAGATCTTGACGATGAAAGCTGGAATTAATGTGTGCTTAATCCCCAATAGCACTACTGTCTGAACCTCAGTGTTGAGGAGACTGAGAAAAGAAAGTGTTTATTAATCAACTGTATGACTAACATTTTTCCACCATCTTTATTGTTATAAAATGCTGACAGTACAATGTACAGAAGTATGAAAATGAACAATGGAACATTTTGCAGTAAAGTAAAATATGGCTGTGCATTGCATGTTAAAAACAAACTTTGTGGATGTAGACTAAAGCTGTACGTATTTTAAATATTTAGTTTTTATATAAAAAATATGGTTAATAAATAATTGGCAATTTCCTTTTATTATAGAGATAAATATTCTGTAAATAAAACAGATACACCACATTTAATGTTATGCAATTATGTGCATAGTTATTACACCGGTAATTACTGAAATCTGGATATTGTAATTAAAAAAAATGTTTTTAGTATTATACGTGCTTATATACAATCATTAAGTCAGTGTGTAGAACAATTTAAAATAGAGAACAGATATTATAACTGGACTATAGATCAATGCAATGTGAGAAATTATAGGCTAAATAAATATGGTGCCTTCATTTTAACTCTTCGGTTCTTGTTTTTGTTTACTGTTCCCTGTAGTACTTTCCAGCTTTCAATCACCAGTTCGTCGGATTGTCTAGCTTTCAAAAATATGTGATAAAGTTATTATTATTTTTTTACATATTAGGCTACATTACATTATACTATGCTATATATAGTATGCTGGCCAAGGTGTCTTTATTTGTACCCAACTGTAAATGTGTTTTGCAGACAGGAGATCCGTGATTAAAGACAAATTCATAAAACATAAAAACATGCATTAAAACGGTCTACGATTATGTTTAGAACTATGTCTTTCTATGGACTAAAATGTGAGTCTTATAGTAAATTTAAGTAAGAAGGCTTATATTTTACAGGATGTAACTGTTGCACATGAGAAATGAGAAAACTAAAATGAGAAGTATAAGTTCAGAACTAAATTTTGTTAGATATTTTCCCTTGGGGGAATAAATTGTGAATTTCAATTTAATTTAATATCTGTCATGTAAACAGAATGAAAAGTCCCAGAAAAACAGCCCATTCCTCGGAGTTAGAGCGACACCTCCTGCTTGTTCGCATCGAGGCATCTGACGCATCCTCGTGTGGATGAATCGATTGGTGCAGCGAATAACGTCACAGAACACGAGACAAACATGGAGAGAAAGACTCCGGACGCGTCCTCACCTGCGCCGAAACTTCGTACACCTGCTCAGAAACAGCTCCTTAAAAGACAGCAGGAACTGGAATACTGGAAGAGGCACTCAAAACAACTGCGGAGCCGTAATTTGATCACGGGCCTGACCATCGGAGCCTTTGTGGTGGGCCTATGTATCCTTCATAGTTTCATGACATGACTGGTCAACTGGTTTATTTAGATATGTGATAAACATCATTATATATATGTGTGTGTGTGTGTGTGTGTGTGTGTGTGTGTGTTGATCACGGGCCTGACCATCGGAGCCTTTGTGGTGGGCCTATGTATCCTTCATAGCTTCATGACATGACTGGTCAGCCTCAAGTGGTTTATTTAGATATGTGATAAACATCATTATATATATATATATGTGTGTGTGTGTGTGTGTGTGTGTGTGATATGGCTATACATAGATAGATGTTTATGTATGGTATGGTAAAAATGTGTGTTTCTGTAAAATGTTATTAGCACATTTTCAGGTGAATAGGGATATATGTTTGTTCAGCCTTTACCAAAATGGTATAATTCTAATTTGATAAAAGAATGCCTACCCACCCACTATTAATAATTACAACTCAATCAAGCCAATTAATAATAAGTCATTATATCTCTAATTGTGTGATGTAATGGCCTTAACCCCTGTATCACTCCATCAGTCAGCTACACCATTCTCTCAGTCAGGCAGGAGAAAATCATGGAAGAGATTGATGATGAGGCAAAGATCTTCGTCATGAAAGGGCCTCGGACAGGGGCCAACTCTTAGATGCTCCTCTGTCTCAGTGGTGCCAACTTTGCCATGTTGGCAGGACAGTTAACATTTGTCTTGATGTGTGAGACTGTGGATCGCTTGCATTCAGTGTCAAAAAACATATTTTCCTGTGGCCACATGATATGGTACAAAGCAAAATGCCCTAATGAACTTGTTAACTGTTGGGGGGGGGTTTGATTTTTTTTTTTTACTAAGGAATTATTTCATTATATATTTATTTATTTTGTTCTGGCTGTGACTTAAAAAATAAAAATGTATATTGAATTTGATCGGTTTTGTGTGTGTGTGTGTGTGTAATAAATGTTTGCTGTGATGCCTGAAGTCAAACAGTCTTACGAAACTAGACCTTTTTAAAGTTTAGCTGCTTACAGTAATTATTATAATTGCACTGAGATATAGTGATATTGTAGTCAACGCGAAATATAAATTAACTGATTTTTTGATACATATATATATCTATAAACACATTTATGTATGTGTGTGTATATATATATATATATTACACACACACACATATAATTACTATGTTAATATGGAATATATAATGTGTGTGTGTGTGTATATAGGCTATATATATATATATATATATATATATATATATATATATATATATATATAGGCTATTGTTTCCAACTGACTCATCTATTTATATTACAGAACTGTCCATTTTATAGTATTCTATTGTATTCCACTAGATGGCAGTATGTCAAGTCACATTAGTAGGAGGCGATAGGAGGTAGTTTGTTTATACAGTATACAGAGATAGCTTGATAAGCTTACAGGACACACTGTACCTTTCCAGTCACTCAAGAATAAATTGACTAGCGATATAGAAGGCTGGATTTTCAGAGAATATCATAACGAATGTCATACATTGATCATGTCATAATGAAAATTGCACATACTGTTTTTAACAATCTTAAGGTCTGCAAAACCTTATCCCATAAAGCTATGTTAAATATAACTTTCTCCACTCTGAAAATATTTTTACTGGGGATGTTAAAGGAATATTCCCGGGCTGCACACATTTAAGATTAATTGTGGTGTAATTTTGATTAAATTCATTTTGTATTTTTCCTCCTTTTCTTTAAAGAAAATCAAAAATCTGGGATACAGTGAGGCACTTAGAATGGAAGTGAATGGGGGCCAATCTAGAAGCGTGGTATATATATATATATATATATATATATATATAGGCTATTGTTTCCAACTGACTCATCTAGTTATATTACAGAACTGTCCATTTTATAGTATTCTATTGTATTCCACTAGATGGCAGTATGTCAAGTCACATTAGTAGGAGGCGATAGGAGGTAGTTTGTTTATACAGTATACAGAGATAGCTTGATAAGCTTACAGGACACACTGTACCTTTCCAGTCACTCAAGAATAAATTGACTAGCGATATAGAAGGCTAGATTTTCAGAGAATATCATAACGAATGTCATACATTGATCATGTCATAATGAAAATTGTACATACTGTTTTTAACAATCTTAAGGTCTGCAAAACCTTATCCCATAAAGCTATGTTAAATATAACTTTCTCCACTCTGAAAATATTTTTACTGGGGATGTTAAAGGAATATTCCCGGGCTGCACACATTTAAGATTAATTGTGGTGTAATTTTGATTAAATTCATTTTGTATTTTTCCTCCTTTTCTTTAAAGAAAATCAAAAATCTGGGATACAGTGAGGCACTTAGAATGGAAGTGAATGGGGGCCAATCTAGAAGCGTGGTTTTACTATTAAAACAGTATTTTAACAAGACCTAAACAATATGAATCATGTACGTAACGATTTTATTTTGAAGAAAAAAGATGCTTATTAACTTTGTGCAAAGTTACAATTTTGCTGTCATGATGATGCAATCATGCAAACCCTGTAATGACACAAAACAACCATTTAAACAAATGTATAGCTCATTTGTTACATGAATATTAAACAAGAATCAACAAAGATACATATATACACACACACACACACACACACATATATATATATACATATATATACACACACACGCACATGTATATATATATATATATATACTGTATATATATGTGTATACGAGAAACAAGAATTTATATAAATGTATATGTATATTTCTCCATTGTAAGTGCTTCAATGTTTATAGATTCACTTTTTTTAACAAAACGAGGAGTAGGCAACAGTTGTATTCAGAAATTTCATTCAGAAAAGTTTAGAATTTATCAAATATTACACTGAAAGATTTTATCTAGTTATTTAAATTTTTAAGACGTTTAATTGTATATTGTATTATTTTATTTATATTTTGAGTATAATTATCGATGCTAGCATGGCAATAAATAATAATAATAACAACAATAATAATATTATTATTAATATAATTATTAGAAATAAAAGAAGGGGCAACTGGATTTTTATTTGAGGTAATGCTTGATGTTAACTTGTATTGAACCAAGAATATTCCTTTAAATGCAGAGTTAGTTTTAGAGTGCGCTGCATACATAGGATGACTCCTCTATGGAGCTAAACTACCCCCAGTGTTTATTCGTTTGCTGGAAGCTTGTTACTCTTTTCAAGAATCTACCTGGTTCTGAACATATGCCCTTCACACAGACCGAGTACAGAGATAAATAGGGAGGGCAGAAAGCTGATGGGGCCCATTACTATTTCATGAGAATAACATCATCAACTCTCTCACATAACCCGCTTCTGTTGCATGATTATATATCTTGTTTCTCAATCCAGTAAGCTGTTCGTAATATGAAATATAATTCGGCAAAAGTTTTACAGGGGGAGGGGGTGATTAGTACGGAGTGGAGGCTGAGAGGCCCAGCTGCTCACGGAGCAGCAATATGTTCATACTGATAAGTGTACACACACACACACACACACACACAAGTCCTTCTTTTGAGTTTGTGTCACGTGGAGCTGTTGAGAGCCTCAGGCACTAGCCATACTATATCACGCTCAAGGGGTCTGAGATATCTGCTCCATACAAGCTCATCTGTATTTCCACTCTGGTCCACATTCAAATCTTCTTTATTGTTTTTAGAGACATTATTTTTTTTAGAAAGTTTCCAGCAAAGCCGTGTTGTTTTAATATCAATGATATAGCATAAGTTTTGTTCATTTTTTGAATTACATTTTATTTTTATGCTTTCCATTTTCATCTTAAATGTAGCTATAGTAGTTTTATTGTTGTTTCTATTGTTATTTTTGTTCAAATTTAATTTGTTTCGTCAGAATGAGAGTCCAAACAGCTGATGAAAACATCACAATAATCCACACAACTCCAGTCCATCAATTAACATCTTGTGATGGAAAAAGCTGCATGTTTGTAATAAATCTATCATTAAGACTACACTGTAAAATAAAATCTGTGACATTTACGGTGAAGTTCTGGCAACTGTACTTCACCGTTAAAAATATGGTAGAAACATTTTAGGTTTTACAGACTTATCTTAAATTCACAATAAAAAAACATATTTCATTAACTGATGTAATGTTAATAAACCAGCATATTGAAGTACTAATATCAGTTTTAAACCATTAAAATGCTGATAACCACCAAAAACAGGTGGTGATGAGAAAGTCACATGATGAATCAAAGCTCATCACAATCAGCTCTTCCAAAAACTGAGAAGGAAAATATTAATCTATATACATAAAAGGTGCACAGTGTCATTCACACAAACACTAAACACCATCATGGTAACGCACATGATACTGAAATAATGCAATAAACATTAATTTAACAACATTAGATGTAAGATAAAACACTAATGTACACAACTGATAAGAAAAATCATAAAATATGAAGTGTCATGCAGGGAATTCTGGGAGTGTCAATTTACATGTAAATTATACAATGACTTTTTCTTTTTCACCTTCAAAAATCGTAATTTGAACAGTATTTTACTGTAAAATGACATTAAATGTAATTACAGTTATTCACCGTATATAGTATGGAAATTTACTGATAACCAATTAACAGGTTTTTATTGTAGCCTTTTTACAGTCTTTTACTGTTAAAATCACAATCATTTTTTACAGTGTATCTATAGACTACCTATCATTTTAACTTATGGCTAAAATACGAGCCCTCTATTCTAGTGAGTCTAGATTTACATCTGAATCGTGAAAGAAATATGCACAGATCAAGTACTGTTTACAAGTGTGAATAGTCCAAAACAGTTTTAAACAAATATATCTATGGACAAGAGTGGATGGACTTTTTTACTGGAGGAATCGTTATTATGGATTATGTACTAGTATTTTGGCCAGAAGTGATGGTTTAAAGTTAAAATGCCTTAATGATGAGTTTGTTTCATACAAACACAGCTTTTCACTTCACAAGATGTTAATTGATGGACTGGAGTCGTGTGGATTACTTGTGGAATATTGTGATGTTTTCATCAGCTGTTTGGACACTTATTCTGACGGCACCCATTCACTACAAAGGATCCATTGGTGAGCAAGTGATGTGGTGCTAAATTTCTCCAAATCTGTTCCGATGAACAAACAAACTCATCTACATCTTGGATGGCCTGAAAGTGAGTGCATTGTCTGAAAATGTACATTTTTGGGTGAAATATTCCTTCAATGAAAATAACTGGTTGTCAGGAAACGGTACACAAACCGCCTTCAGATCACATTTTAAGTGCATCGTTCAGTTTGCAGACTAGCCTGATAACTGCTGTAAAGGGGTAATTCACCCAAAAGGAAAAAAAAAATCTATCATCATTTATTCACCCTCATGTTGTTCACCTCATTTTCAAACCTGATGATTTTGTTTTCTTCCCTGTGGAATGCAAAATTACATATTTTAAAAAGTGTTTAAAAAAACATTTTTTTCATACTGTCAAAGTCTATGGGGTCCAGTGTTTGAATACAGGTTGAGAGTGTTCAGCGCTCCTGTTATCACTGTTGTCTAAAATACACACGTAAACACTGTTGTCAAGTCACCTGCCGCTATGGATAAAGCCTCTTCGGCCCACTGATAGAACATGGCAATTTAAAGTTCATCCTTAGAGTATTTAAGCCAATAGAAACACTATTTTAAACACACGCGGTTGAAAACAAATGGCCTTGAGCGGCTAGACCCTCACGTTTGTCTGCGATTACAATCAGTCCATGTCCTTTAATTGGGCATCAGCTCATTGCTAGGAAACAAAGCCATAATAAAGACACTGACAGTGAGAGAGATGGAAGCTGCTCCAAACAGTCACCGTTTGTGAACCTATAGAGATAAATGACTTGGTGCAGAAAAGTTTCAGTGATTGTCAGCAGTCGAAGTAAAGAGTAAACCAAGCAGTTTACCTGCATTGCTATGTGATGCACGCATGCTGTAAGTGAACAGGATAATATTAATAGTCACGTCACATAAACCTATTATAAACATTTGTCATGTACTATGTTGTATTCTTAGAAAGTCATGTTTATGTCTACGCTAGAGTGATACTGATGTGTGGCACAAGTCTGAGCTTATATCAACATGCTGTGAAGAGGATTTAATTATGCCTGATATCTATGTTTATGCAACTGATACTGCTCATCAGCTCATCTGTTATTATGTATTAGTGGATGACTGATAGGTTCGTATACTGTATACTGATTCTTTAATTATTTTAGTCTCCTCCATCCTAAATATGTAGTTATATTCTTGCATGTGCTTCAGGCTAATGGAATACAGCAGGATTGAATCATTCTCAGTGCAGAATGACAGTTTTAAGCTTGACTAATAACATGAACTAATCTGACTAATCAATCTCATGGGAACCGCAGAGAAATAATTCCATCTGTTCAGTTTATTCACTTTTAAATGGAGAGGTTTTGATACTTGCCTTTTTGACTTGCATTAAGCAGCTGTTTCTTAACTTCACTACTTCATGATTTCAAAGATCTGGGGTTCCCTGTATTGAGTTTAACTTATTGACTCTAATGATCTTGCAACAGACAAACCCAACGTAACTTATGCAATAGGATGTGGCAAGCAGCTTCAACATCCTTAAAACTAAAATCTTTGATAGAATTTTTTATTTCTGCTTTTATTTTAGATTAGCTACTAGTAATTATGATATTTTGAGCTCACTAGAAATTAATTATTATTATTAATGATAATAAATTATATATATATATATATATATATATACACTACCGCTAAAAAGTTTGGGATCAGTAAGTAACTGTAATGTTTTTTAAAGAAGTCTCTTATGCTCATCAAGGCTGCATTTATTTGATCAAAAATACAGAAAAAAACAGTAATCTTGCAAAATGTTATTGCAATATAAAATAATGGTTTCTATTTTTATGTCCTTTAAAATATAATTTATTTCTGTGATGCAAAGCTGAATTTCCCTTAGTCATTACTCCAGTATAAAGTGTCACATGATCCTTCAGAAATCATTCTAATATGCTGATTTATTATTAGAATTATCAATGTTGGCAACAGTTGTGCTTCCAAATATTTTTTTGGAAACTGCATACTTTTTCAGGATTCTTTGATGAATAAAAAGTTAAAAAGAACAGCATTCAAAATATAAATATTTTCTAACAATATAAATCTTTGCTATCACTTCTTATCAATTTAACACATCCTTGCCGAATAAAAGTCTTAAAAGTTTAAAAAAGAAGAAAGAATAAAAATGTACTGACCCCAAACTTTTGAACTGTAGTGTATATTGTTAGAAAATATTTCTCTTTTTTTAATAAATGCTCTTCTTTTTAACTTTTTATTCATCAAACAATCCTGAAAAAAGTATCACAGTTTCCAAAAAAATATTAAGCAGCACAACAGTTTCCAGCACTGATAATAAATCAGCATATTAGAATGATTTCTGAAAGATCATGTGACACTGAAGACTGGAGTAATGGCTGACGGAAATTCAGCTTTGCATCACAGAAATAAATTATATTTTAAAGTATATTAAAATATTAAAATAGATTTTATATCGTAATAACATTTTGCATATATATACTGTAATATATCTGTAGATCTGTAATATATATATATATATATATATATATATATATATATATATATATATATATATATATATTACAGATACTCATAAAATATAA